AATATGTTATCGAGACATTTTCCATGATTATGATCACAAGAAATTGGTTTGTTGTTTCAGAGCCACAGACTTTTGAAACGTTATGATCAAAACTTAGGACGCTGTAAAATGCAGTTGAACGTAAGACTTGGTAAACGGCTCCATTGGAAATCGTGTCAGGTTTCATGTTTTTCCTTTTTAATATAACCATCTTTTTTCATTGTGTTTTTACCTACCTATCATCTGCCATCTGTTTGCAACCTACAAGTCAAAGCAGAGAGACAGTGGGTGTTTCTCAATGTCGAGGACGCTTCCTTGGTAGCACATGTTCCCTCCGAGTCAGGTCCTTCAGAAGCGAGGCAAGAATCCTTCCGAGCCTCGGAAAACAAAGAATGGTGGAACAGGCTATCGGGTGTGCGTCATATGCGAGGCCCCGCCTTAAATGGAGCGCGATTTCCGCCAAAGATTTGCAAATTGGTCCGTGCGCAAAGCATTGTGGGGATTTTAAGACCGCGGAGTCTACACATGTGCAGCCTCGAAATTTCCCGCTATGAAGTACGCCGGCCTCGGTAGAATTCCAAGTATGCTGGACATTGGAACAGTCCTTCAGCGGGATGCTTGAAATAGTGGCTCTGGAGCAGCCTTCCTCGACATTGAGAAACACCTACAGTTTAGTGAGAGTGTATTAAATCTGGAACTTGGTCATTACTGGGAGTTGTAATTGAATTAAGACTCAACTATTCCCATTCCAACAAATGTAATTGCCATTTAACTGAATCAACTAAAGTGATTTGTCATGTCTAGGAAACTAATAGTGAAAGTGTATTCTTTATGTTAGTTTTGTCATGTCCCTTTGCCCTGTGCTTTATGTTTATTCCCTTAATTAATCATCCCTCTCATTTCAGGCCTCCACGCTCCCCGCCCCCTTCTGTCTCCTGCGTCCTTGATTGTTTTCCCCGCCCTGATTGTTTCCACCTGTGTCCCCTTACCTGTGTATATATTGTGGTAGCTTCCTCCTGTTCATTGTCAGTTCGTTGTCTTACTATGACCCACGTTCCTGATTACCTCACGGACTTCCCACGGATCTACCTCATTGATCACTTGCTAGTTTTCCTCGAAAGAGTATATTTGTTTTCCTTGTTTTGATTACTGTGCTAAATTCCAGTAAAGTCTTTATTTTTTGAGAACACTATCTGAGTCGTGCAATTGAGTTCATGCCTCAGAGTCTCTCCTTGACATGATTGTAATCGGCTACATTTAAAAACAAGACCTCACAAAAAGTTGCATTACGGAAATACGTTTTTCAATGAGTATAAAACACTATCAAAAATACATGTTTGTACAGTTTCACACATGATGAGTAGCATATTGAGGGTCAGTACACCTGGAGGCTGTGATATAGTTTCAGTCAGAAATGCTCTGACGCTATCGCCCATTAGCAAACGGCAACTATGAGGAGAGAAAGTGCAATATTTAGCAGAATTGTTGAGATATTTTGCTCGGGGGCTGGTGGGACCTAAACAAAGCTAAAAGAAGTATTATGAACGTACTTCGACAGAATCAGAAGACGTAACAGCATGTCTGCCAGATGTGTAAGCAGGGATAACATAGATCTTAGCAGTCAGAAAATAAATAATTAAAATGTTGAGAACACTGCGATCATCCGATGCAGGTCTACTAGAGGTCACCAGAAAGAGTCCATCCAATCCAACTTTATTCATATAGCACTTTAAAAACCTTCAGACCAAAGTGCTGTACAGAGAGATAAGCTCACACAACATAATATAAATACATTTAAAATACAAACACAAAACAAACCAGAATAAACGTAATAATTAAAAAATAAATAACAGCCATATAATAAAAACAATAGACCACTGAAAGCAAATAAAAGCAACAATCTACTTGTTTCTGAATGCCAAGGAGAACAGGTGGGTTTTAAGACGGGATTTAAAAGCAGTCAGTGTGGGAGCCCGTCTGATGAGCAAGGGCAGGTCGTTCCACAGTGTAGGGGCGGCAGCAGAGAAAGCACGGTCCCCTCTACGCTTAGACTTTGACATAAGAAGATCGGTGATGCAGCCTTTGTAAACTACGCCCCAAAACTGTGGAACACGTTACCCAACAATATTAGGGAAGCCAATACGTTAGGCAGCTTAAAACCGATCTCTTTACCAAAGCATTTTATTGATGTTACACTATTATACTGCACTATTCTCTATGTTTTATTCCCCATGTATTTTTAATTATTTTATCCCACTTTATGCTCTTGCTGCTTGTTTTACACTGATGTTATTTCTTACTGATGTAAAGCACTTTGAACTGCAATCCCCTGTATGAAAGGTGCGATACAAATAAAGTTATTATTATGATAACAATGATCTGCAGTTCCAGATTCAGGCTTAAAACACCACAGTAACTGGCTTTGGTTTTTCTAAATGCACATTTGATGCTTTTATAACAACACGTTTTCGTTGGGTTGAAGACTTAAATGACCTGTTGGGCTAAGTCAGTGGTTCTCAAAGTGGGGGCGCAGGGGCATGACAGGGGGGGCGCAAGAGACCAGGGGGAAAAATGGTTATTAAAAAAAAAAAAAGATTTAAAAAAAAAAAAAAAACTTATTTGAAAAAGTATTGATTGAAAATAATATGATGAAGTACTATTACGTCTGGGTCTCTGTGTTTCATTAAAGCTCGGCTCTGTGTGTGTGTGTGGAACGAGCCATTTTGTGTGCGTGCGCGAGAGAGAGCGCACCGGTACCGGAGATTATTCTTGTTAGCTTCTGGTGCTAGCGAGCTACGCTAACAGATATAAGGAGTTTTTTCAACAACAAAGTGGAGGAGAGTCCTCTCCTGTCAGACTGAGAGACTCAGTGAGCTAAAGGACTCTCTCAGTGTTATCTCAGTGGGTCTCAAACGTTTTGGTCGCCATTAATGTAAACAATTATTTCCGAGGCACACGTTTATATGATCATTATAGTTATAAAAAAACAAGAGAATAAATTAAAAACAGGTATGAAATAATATATGACAGTAAAACAAGAATACAGTTTAAAAGAGTGATTTGTAAAATATCCATAAAGAAAAAGTAAATCTGTTTACAGTTCTGTTTCAAATGGGTGTTGAGAGATGTATCCATAGATCTCTTCATGTTGCTCTCAAAGTGCACCAGATTGATGCATTTAACTTCAATATTTAAAAATCTTCCCGGGGGAGCTTGCCCCCGGACCCCCCTATGTGAGGTCCACACACCACCTATAAAAATAGCACTTTACCCCTGCTTACACCTATATGCCGTGAGCTAATTATCGAGCCTTCATTGTAACAGTCGCGGGTACACTGTGTATATGCGTGGGGATTGTTGCAGTAGAAAATTCCTCTGTATCGACAGGTACATTAATGGGAAACCCTAAATGTTTGAGCACCCTCTATGAAACGTCAAGCTACCCCACAGCACCCCCAAAATAAATCTCTGGCGCCGCCACGGAGCCTGACTATTTGTGTTGGGGGGGCCCGACTTTTTTTTTTCTCCAAAGGGGGGGCCTGACATAAAAAGTTTGAGAACCACTGGGCTAAGTCTAACCGCTGCTGTTTGTAATGGGTTTATCAAAAGGAGTAAGACACAACCAAACCGTTTATACCTTTTCTAATTATGTATTTTTTTTTTTAAATTGTACAGCTACGGCTAAAAATGACAAAGATGTTTGCCAAGTTCCCATATCTGCGACATCAAATGAACGGCCAGCCGTCTACCTGTAAGTGATTGTTGTTGTTGGCGCAATATTACAGACATACAGTCTATCAATGCACCGATGGTTGTGCAAAACATCCAACACTAGTGTAACACATGTTCATTGGTCACACACCTTTTAAACACTGTTCATCACCTTCCTCTCCCCTTTGAAAAGTATGAATGTAAAAATGTTTGACTGCAGGGAAATTGATTTTAGAGCTGTCGCCTCGCATTCAGCCCTTGTGTTATTTACTCCAAATGTGGGGCTCAGTATTCTGGTGGCGATGGAGGGGTGTGTCAGGGCCACCCAGTCATTCCTTCACACTCTCAAACACTCTCCATCCACTTCACACAAGGTCGCCTGCAGCAGCGTATTTGTATTCATCACATCTCAATTCACAGCAAACAAGCTAAACCCGGGGGGTGTCTGGACTGAGGAGTGTCATCTCTCCTCTGCGGATTCCCACATTCACATTCAGTGTGTGAGCATGTCATTGTGAGATTTGTATTCCTGCCCTGGACCTGATCTGTCGAACCTGCATGAGGCTCTGCCTGCAGATGTGTGTGTGTCGTGGTTTTGAATGTACCTGTTTGTACTTCAATCATTCTTACTCTGTTCGCTTGTTCATGTTCTTATGAAACTCAGTGCAAGTCAAGACCGACCTACGTTATTAATTGTCTCTCATTTCCCAAGCTGCATTTAAAAGGCAGATTGTGGGCGTGACTCTTTAAGTTACTCTATTACTTATCGGTTACTACATCTTCGACAGTGTGAAGCTGACGATTGAGCGGCCCGACCAAGCAAGGAGGCAGAGGCAGAACGTCCAAAATACAACCCGGTGTGGGCATTTATTAAGTCAGGGACACAATGACACACAGCCTCAATCCTGCTGTTTCTCCCTGACCACAGCCACAAGGATCTCTCACACACTCTCCCTGCCTCCACACACAGGGAAACAGAGCCTAAATACCTACACACTAATCAGCACAACAAGACACAGGTGAGGGGGGAGCAATTAGACACAGGTGGGGGGGGGAGACAACACAGGGCACCAGGTGAACATAATCAGGAGTAACAGAAAGAACGGGAGGGGGAACACTTTTCAAAATAAAAACACATGTGCAATATACAAGGCCTGAAGCCGTCAGTCCATAGTGACAAAGTTATCTTCGTCACAGACAGCCAATCACCAATCGTGCTGCCGTCAGACTTTTAAACTGGTCTCCTTGTTTCCTTGTCTCATGCTATATTCAGGTAGTAATCAAAGAGCGACATCAGTCCGGTTTAATTATCATCATTCATAACACACGTTTAGTCTTCCCTTCAGCTTTCGTTTCCCCGTGTTATTTCAGTCAGGTGGTCAAACCCGTCATTTCTGTTTCTCATTAGAAATACAATCGTTTGTGATGTTTCCTAACCATTCATTTGATGAAGGTCTTAACTGACCTTCATTTATTTTTGTTCTTATGAAGTTATATTTCGGTTTAGACCTTGCAGTCCATTATTATTTTACATACGAACAACTATGGGTCCATTTCACATCATAATGGCTTTTTTCGAAAAATCTCAGAATTCTGACTTTTTGCCCGGAAAACAGCGCCTCCAAATAACATTATTATTCATTTAACGTCTGATTTTATGGATCTATTTGACATCATCTGATCGTGTTTTCCTTGTTGGCATAGTGGGGATCAGGTTTTAATGGAGTCAGTTGTGATCTTCTTTGTGCTTTCACTCTAGTTTGTTGTTGTTTTTAATCAAGGTTAAAAATGAGTGGAAGTTCATTTCACTTTCAGCAGTGGCTTTGAAGGAGACAGCAGCCAATATGGACATGACTGAGTAAACAGAGAGACAGATGGAGGGTGGAAGAAACACACACACACACGCACGTGTAATTATGCATATTTAGGGAACCAAAAGTACATATTGGTGTTTTTAAACAAAACCCCATTCCTTGTTGCTACGAACGATGAAAGGGAAGATGGGTCAAACGTATCTAATGGGTGTTAATTTGAGGCATTAAACCTGCAATGAAGTATTTTTCCTTTCAGTTGAAAAGGGGTTATTTGTGTGTCTGTGTATCTTCTCGTAAGTCTTGATACTTCTCACGTCAATCCAGAAACAAGTCATTATTCACTCGGGAATAGAAACAAATCCTCAAAATGCAACATGTTTGCACAGAAACAAATACACAGAGCAGTACATGGGAATATTTCACACACACACACACACACACACACACACACACACACACACACACACACACACACACACACACACACACACACACACACACACACACACACACACAGGCTAAGTCACATCTCTTGTAATTACGTTTTTATCTCCCTGAGGTTTCTCCCATGTTCCCTTTAAACTGTGGGTTTTCTCTGGAAGTGTTTCCTTGTACGATGTGAGGGTCTAAGGACAGAGGGTCTAAGGACAGAGGGTGTCGTATTGTCATACTGATATTCTGTACACACTGTGATATTGGGCTATATAAATAAACATGGATTGATCCTGATAGAAAATGCCTATGACAGCTAGTAGCTTAGCTGCACTGAATTTAATACATTTACTGTTTATCGGACCACAGAAAAGACAAGGCCAAGAAAAAAGTCAAATAAATTCAGCAAATCTACCTCCTCAAAACCTGACGGCCCTTCAGGAGATGTAGCTTCAGTCCGTGTAGTTTAAACCATCACGAAATGTGAAACAAACCAAATATAGAAATCTAGTTTTAATAATAGAAATGTGAGTACATTTTTAAAAATATGTACATTTTTGTAAACAAAACAATACGGGATGGAGTTCCAGTAAAAATCTGAAGTGCTGCTTTGTCTTAAGTGCTTCTCTTAATCACAGATCAAATGTTCCAGACAAACAAAACATAGTAAAGACACAAATAATCGCCATAAACCTGTGTGTTTGTAACTCAGATGATATTATCAAGATCCTTTCTTGCAAGTCCACAAGTGTCCATCTGATCTTTTTTAAGCATGTCCAGAGAAACCAGATTTTCCGTCCGAAGCTCATCTCTAGTTTCAGAGTCTTGAATTCTGGTTTCTGCATTTCAAATTGTTCCATCAAATCAAATGCTTCAGACCAATCCCAGTTAAAGTACTTCACTCAGCTGGATTAGCCATGGTTTCCCCTGTGTGTTGGGAAGTTGGAGTTCTCTCAAGGACACCAGCTGGTGAAAGGATACAGCTTGCAATGGACGGTCTTAAACCTGCAGAGGACAGAAGGGATTACAAATAACTCAGAGGTGAGAGAGATCTTTAAAAGCTTTCTTTAAATATTTAATTTTTTTTTTTAAACGGCTGGTTGGTTAGAAGAATATAAAAGTAATTTGTGCCATAGTCATTGAACTGTCCACAACAGAAAGAGAAAACAGTTTGAGAAAGGTTTCTGAGGGGTTTCTAATAATTTTTTTGGTAGGGGAAGAGAAGTAACAAACGAACCTGATCAGTCTTGAATCAATGAAATTGTGTTTATGTTTTTTAAGTAGTAAGTATTATTTTTGTACACAACAGTATGTGTTAAATGTATAGAGTTTTTCCCTGTCTTTGCACATATGATTTGTACCACATGTACCTACTTTGGACTTGCACACAGACATGTATTTTCATATCCAAAATTACTCATTTATGTAAACTATTGTTGATATGTAATTGCATGAACTCTTGGCTGTGCGATCCTGTGTTTCAATCGTATTCCTGTTTCTGCTTAAACGCCTGCATTTCCTTACGGGGATCAATACAGATTGATTTCATCTTATCTTTGTGACTCCTCAAAGCACTTTTACATATACACACATTCATTCAGAGGCTGCCGTACATTCAAGGTGCCATTCAGTCTCAGGTGAGACATTCACACACCGTTGTGAAATGCCATCGGGAGCAATTTGGGGTTTAGTATTTTGCCAAGAACACTTTAACATTAGTCAGGGGGCTGGACAGGCCCGGCTCCAGGATGAAATGACTGAGGGGGCTGTTAAAAAATCCGAGGGGGCGATTTTTTTTTTTCTCACAACAACGAAAAATCCTGGCAATGTAATGAATTGACACACCAAGCTTTTTTCCTTCTCACTGCTCTACAATATCTTTGCTTCTTTATTTGTATTCCGGATTGACCCCTCTCGTTCTGTTCTGTTCCTCTGATCTTTAATAACAGATAGTACATTATCAGATGGCTGCACTTTGGTTAACAGACTAGCATTGATTTCCTCCATTTATAAATTGGCTCTGTAATTATACCATAACCTTTTCTCCTCTATCCCTTAACTCGTCTTCCTATACATGTATTACTTACTATCTAGAACATACATTCGTAATTTACCTCGTTTAAAGTACTTTTGTTGTAATACTATGGATTTAGTTGACACTACTAGCCGAGTTTCTTTTGTCCAATATCTCGCGGGCAGGTACATTGAATTAGAAGAAAAAGAAGAAGAAGTAGAAGAAGTAGAGGTAGAAGAAGAAGTAGTAGAAGAAGAAGTAGAGGTAGAAGAAGAAGTAGTAGAAGAAGAAGTAGAGGTAGAAGAAGAAGTAGTAGAAGAAGAAATATGCTAACGCTACAAAAAGGCACAACACTGTTACTCTGTTTTTACTGACATGTAACATTTTATTTCACCTTGCTCTGTTTTTTAACGCACATTCAAAAACGGGAACATTTTCGGGAGTTTCAACCGGTGGTACCGGCCACCAAAAAACGGGGACTTTGCCTGGAAAACGGGGACGTTTTGGTCACCCATCCGACTGTGTTTACAGCTAAGCACACATGCTAACATTAAGACTACAAGCTCACTTGGGGTTGAGGCTTGTTTACACGTTGCTTGACCCACACATCTGATCTAAACATAGTAACGTGTGTTGGGGAAAATAATTATTTAAAGTTATTTAATAATTGTGACATTTATTGTACTTTTTGATGGATGAATGATGCTCAAGGTGAGGGGGCAAATAAGACAACTGAGGGGGCAATGCCCCCTTTTGCCCCCTCGTGGCGCCGGAACTGGAACACGACCGCCAGTATAACTTTATTTTAAGTCAGTCTGCATTTACCCTAAAAAGGTGGTTTTCCGTTCCAATGTAGAACACGTTTTGGAGATAATTGAACAAAGAAAAAGCGAATAAAGGCTTGTTCCCAACTGCAGAAGAATAGCGCTCAATAAGGGCGATAAACTATAATAACTGGATGGAAATATGATGTTGAGTAGCATGCCTTTTATCTGACGTTATTTTCCGTCTCTTCAACAAAGCAGAAGTTACAGTGGATGTAAGTCACATGCTTTGTGTACGTCAAATATACACCAACTTTTCCACCTGAGCCAAAACAAAAAAACTTGTTTGAGATATCTCACAATTTTTCGATACTTTCTGCGTTTCTACTCAAGTTTTCTTATAAGCATTTTGAAAATTGGTAGTAATAGTTGAATCAGATCCGAGTAGCCTTTTAAATGAATGCTCATTTTCAGGTGTATATCAGTATGTAGTGTCTCTACTTTAAAGAGTCCTCTCCTGCTGATGTTCAGGTGTATATCAGTATGTAGTGTCTCTACTTTAAAGAGTCCTCTCCTGCTGATGTTCAGGTGTATATCAGTATGTAGTGTCTCTACTTTAAAGAGTCCTCTCCTGCTGATGTTCAGGTGTATATCAGTATGTAGTGTCTCTACTTTAAAGAGTCCTCTCCTGCTGATGTTCAGGTGTATATCAGTATGTAGTGTCTCTACTTTAAAGAGTCCTCTCCTGCTGATGTTCAGGTGTATATCAGTATGTAGTGTCTCTACTTTAAAGAGTCCTCTCCTGCTGATGTTCAGGTGTATATCAGTATGTAGTGTCTCTACTTTAAAGAGTCCTCTCCTGCTGATGTTCAGGTGTATATCAGTATGTAGTGTCTCTACTTGAAAGAGTCCTCTCCTGCTGATGTTCAGGTGTATATCAGTATGTAGTGTCTCTACTTTAAAGAGTCCTCTCCTGCTGCTGTTCAGGTGTATATCAGTATGTAGTGTCTCTACTTTAAAGAGTCCTCTCCTGCTGATGTTCATGTGTATATCAGTATGTAGTGTCTCTACTTTAAAGAGTCCTCTCCTGCTGATGTTCAGGTGTATATCAGTATGTAGTGTCTCTACTTTAAAGAGTCCTCTCCTGCTGATGTTCAGGTGTATATCAGTATGTAGTGTCTCTACTTTAAAGAGTCCTCTCCTGCTGATGTTCAGGTGTATATCAGTATGTAGTGTCTCTACTTTAAAGAGTCCTCTCCTGCTGATGTTCAGGTGTATATCAGTATGTAGTGTCTCTACTTTAAAGAGTCCTCTCCTGCTGATATTCAGATGCATATCAGTATGTAGTGTCTCTACTTTAAAGAGTCCTCTCCTGCTGATGTTCAGGTGTATATCAGTATGTAGTGTCTCTACTTTAAAGAGTCCTCTCCTGCTGATGTTCAGGTGTATATCAGTATGTAGTGTCTCTACTTTAAAGAGTCCTCTCCTGCTGATGTTCAGGTGTATATCAGTATGTAGTGTCTCTACATGTCTCCATGCTTTAATGTTCAAAAAGTTCTTTATTTTTCTCATACTGCCTGTGCTGCAGCACCTCTTTTCACCCTCTGTCTGAAACCAGAGCCCAGTCTGCTCTGATTCGTTAACTGGCAGGCTCTGTTGTGATTGGTCAACCGCTTAGAAATGTCCCGCCCCTTTGCCTATCACATACAATGTCTTGGAACTCTAGCCAATAGAAGTGCGAGTGTTACACAGTGATGGCACTATAATCCTGAAGTAAACAGAGGAGTCCAATGGAGGCGAACACAGGGATTTTAGGCTTAATGGGGCCTTTTTTAACGTTATAGGAAATAGCTCTGTAGTTAATTCCCAATCCAGATATAATGTATTATCCACAGTGTGGGATCTGGGGACAATAAGTTACTGTGACTTTGTGTCGTCCTCTCAGCAGCCTGTGATACAGATGATCCACCAAAGGAGAGAAAGCTCAAGCAGCTAAAAATAGCCCGGCAGAGCGTCTAATGAATATGTCAGACAGTAATATCATCACACTGGAATATTTAGGCTTCTTTATGGTTTTTACCCCCGGCAAGAAGACCATTGTTCTGTTATTAGTTTCTCTAAAATCTTAAAAAAAAGTGTTTTGATTAGAATTGGTGGAGAGTAAGTTGTGGACGGAAGAATAAATGATTAGCTTGTTGTTTGGATCCTGGAACATTTTAAAGCTCCCATGACCTGGCCATTTCTACTGATCATAGTTCCATGGTTGAGGTCTACTAGAATAGATTTACATTGTTCAATGTTCCAAACTCACATTGGTTTTCTCACACAGCATCTCTGTATAGTATGTGTATTCACTCTCTGTCCTAAACGGCTTGTTGGAGCTCCTGCCCCCCCCCCCCTTCCTCTGATTGGTCAGCTCGCCCACTCTGTTCTGATGAGTCCACCACCGTTACAGCGGAACATCAGTGATTATGTGTTACAATGGCGTTTGTTAGCAACCAGAAAATGACACCAGTAATGACAAACAGATGAGAATGCTGCGTGGGGTCTGGGTGCCGTGTTGGCGGGACGTTGCGGGGCTCGCTGCTGGAGGGGACAGTGTGAGCTGGGTTCATTTCCTGGTTGCTGCGTGGGGTCTGCGAGACATCGCGAATGGACGCGGGTAGGGGGGGGTGCTGAGGGGGCTGCAACACCCCCATCTGCGAGGCTCCACATGCATAAAAAGCTACATAACACACAAGGGGACGGGTAATAACCGGAAAGCATGACATGGGACCTTTAAAGACTAGAATATATGCTGCATTTCTGACCTAGTCTTTTACATCTGCTTTTATTATCATTACTTAGTTAAGGAAATTGTTTCAGCCCAGTTCTGCTTTGGTTTGAAATGATTTCTTAACATTTGGAGATATATACTTTTCTGATATTATTCTATATTTCATATTGAACGGGAAACATGTGAAAAACTTGCCATCTTTGTGTATCCCTATGTAAAAAAATTGTTATCATTTATTTGACCGTCCTCAACAGTGACAGACAATCAGACTGTCACAACTTAGATTTTCTTATTTTCTTACAATATTCTTATCTTATCGTCATGACCGAAAGAACGAGATTGCGGATACAAGCGGTCGAGATGAGTTTTCTCCGCAGGGTGGCTGGTGTCTCCCTTAGGGATAAGGTGAGAAGTTCGGTCATCGGGGAAGGGACTCGGAGTTGAGCCGCTCCTCCTTCGTGTCGAAAGGAGCCAGTTGAGGTGGTTCGGGCACCTAGTTAGGATGCCACCTGGGCGCCTCCCTAGGGAGGTGTTCCAGGCACGTCCAGCTGGGAAGAGACCAAGGGGTAGACCTAGGACCAGGTGGAGGGATTATATCTCTTCGCTGGCCTGGGAGCGCCTTGGGATCCCCCAGTCAGAGCTGGTTGATGAGGGGAAAGGAACGTCTGGGGCTCTCTGCTGGAACTGCTACCCCCGCGACCCGACCACGGATAATAGGGAGAAGATGGATCGATGGATTCTTATCTGAGTGAGTTTAGTAATGCTATTTGCAAATCATAGTTTATATTCTGTAACATTCTTGACCTGATTTCTGGAAAGATCTAAATTAATTTCAATAGATATACCCGGGGTAACAGGATGAGATGTCAAGAAGAAAAATGCTCCGTTTAGAAACCAACTGTGATGGTAGACAGGGGAAATGGAAATATGACTCCTCTGGTTGATTGTATTGAAGTCTGAGAAAATGAGACTTACTTCTCACTTAGCTTATTAGTTCAGTAAGTAGTAGTGTTAGGGAAATAATTGTCCTAGACTCCTAGATATGACGTACAGGACCAACCCTGACGTCTGTTTACCTCCTTTAAGGACACAGGCTGTTTCAGCCAATAATGTTATTGTTCCCATTCTGTGACCGGTCAATACTGGGTCACAGATGGTCTGTATTGTGGGTACACTGGGACACTTCCTTCTCTGTTGTCTGAGGACTCCAGGGCATGACATATCCAAGGCCATAAGTGGCGGAAGCTGGTAACTTAGTGTGCCCAAACTATCTAAAGCTATCTTATCAAAACATGTTGATGACTCTCTGTGGAACCAGTTAAATGGGCTGGCAAGAGAGAGGCTCTCCAGAATTGACGTGGCAACTCTACCGTGAAGTCAGAACCTCTGGCTCTTGGACTTGTGATGTGAATCCTCCGGCCGTAACTCCAAATAAACCATCAGTGTTTGACATCAAAGCTACTGCTCCTACCGTGTCTCCTTCCTGAGTCGGTGACTCCCACTGCATAGCTACACAGAAGTTTCCTCTACAGTAGTCCCTAATGAGTTTATAGTGTCAATCTCTACTTTCAAGACTTCTTCGATACAGCATGATGTTGATTTAGTAAATGATCATCCCATTTTTAAATTAAACGATAAGTTCATGGAGAGTCAGACGAACCTGGAGGGGTCTTTGTCTTTAGAGAAACTTCCTTTCACCTCGATGCTGATCATCTTGTTCTCAAACATCCCATAGCTCAGTGTCACCTGCGGAGGAACACACACAAGATTCTTATTTGCTAGTCCTGGGTAAGTCAAGGGATAAGTCAAATCCTTTAAATATGTTTGGGAAGTCTTGAAATGTTGTTTGTTTAATAAAATAATCTTCTGTGCATTACCTTATTTGTTAGGTAAAACAAACTCGCCAAATGTAATCTCTGTAGCCGATTCAAACGTGCATTGATGCAGCTACTCATTGGAGTATGTCCCTGGTGTGTTTGAATAATGCCGGACTGGATTACCTTTCATATTTTTCCAATGACCGATACAAATTGTATTCGAAGAGTATTTGAACATGACCAACGATTGCTGTTTTCTAGTAATTTACATTTTTATTAAATTATACAGTTCTGTGTGTGTGTGTGTGTGTGTGTGTGTGTGTGTGTGTGTGTGTGTGTGTGTGTGTGTGTGTGTGTGTGTGTGTGTGTGTGTGTGTGTGTGTGTGTGTGTGTGTGTGTGTGTGTGTGTGTGTGTGTGTGTGTGTGTGTGTGTGTGTGTTCCTAGCATTACTATACTTGTGGGGACCTAAATCTGTTTACACAGTCACGTGGTGGGGACTCGCCTCCCTCATGGGGACAAATTGGAGGTCCCCATGAGGGGAATCATTAATTTTAGGGTGAAGACTTGGTAAGGTTAAGGGTTAGGGTTAGGCATGTGTTGGTTAAGGTTAGGATAAGTCTCCAGGAAATGCATGTAAGTCAATGTAATGTCCCCTGAAGTGTGTGTGTGTGTGTGTGTGTGTGTGTGTGTGTGTGTGTGTGTGTGTGTGTGTGTGTGTGTGTGTGTGTGTGTGTGTGTGTGTGTGTGTGTGTGTGTGTGTGTGTGTGTGTACACCTGTGTGTGTGTACACCTGTGTGTGTGTACACCTGTGTGTGTGTACACCTGTGTGTGTGTACACCTGTGTGTGTGTACACCTGTGTGTGTGTACACCTGTGTGTGTGTACCTGGTGCTGTATGCTCCTGTGGCTGATGAGCAGCAGGTTCTCCAGGTGAGAGTGGAACAGCGGACAGTGGACCATGGAGACGCCGAGCATCTTCTCCACGATGAAGCCCACCGTGCAGTCGTCAGGGAGACGGATCCTCGCCGACGTCTGCTCGAACCGCGAGCCGCTGAAACACACACGGACAAATGCCGGGAAAATTAGCCAAAATGAGTGCTTACTGCTGTGTGTATTGTATTTTTGTATCTCTGGCACAACAATTTCCTTCGGGATGAATAAAGTCTTATCTTATTGCCATGCTGCTGTGCAATTATTAGGATACTAGAGTAGCCGGCTTAAATTCTCCAGTCTTAAAACATGTATTTGTGTTATTTATTCGATAGAAATGTGACATTTGTGATTGCTTCACGTGTTTACGTGAGTCGGGTTGAATCTGATCTGGGATGCCATGTTGAAATTGACTGCAGAATGATAGATGTAATGCTATCTTTAGAACTCGTCAGACCATATACCATCGTGGGGGTGCGCTCACGTGATTGGTTGAACATAAAAGAGACATCTGATTGGCTGCAGGTAGTTCCTTGTTGAAAGAAATGCATTTTTGACTATGGCGACGTCAAAGGTCTCAAAACTCCCCAAAACAAACACAAATCAGTTTGTAAAGGAATCAGGTGTAACGGTTTGTATCGTAACAACATCCAAATATATTTTTAAAACTAAATTGTGGATATGGCAGATTTCTAGAACAGTAATGTAAAACTAAAAATATTTATGTGCCGATCAGAAATATTTGTGAAACATGTAGATTTGTTGTACATACATATAAATCATGGTTAACATGGTCATGGTGTAGTGATGAAAAACACATGTTTTTTTGTAAATTCATTGACTGTGCCTTTAAGTTCGGATCGTTCTGTTTAAGATGGGAGAAGTTTTCCAGAATATAAAACAAAAGAAAACTGCCTCCTAGCCCAGAAGGATAATGTTGCACATTTTGCATGTTGTGGCCCATTAACTATTTATTGCATGTACTTTAGTGCTGACCTTTTCCAAAGAACATTGTACATTCTCAGATTGATTCCTCTTGCTTCTGGCCCTGGGCGGCCATTATTCTCCGATCTTTTAAAGCAGTATAAATACAAACTTAAAGAGACCTGAAACTTCCTTCCTTTATTTTTGTTTGGTCAATGTGATGCTGCTCATAAACACAGCTGGGTGCCTGGAAAACGGTGGTGCATTCAAGTGTTTGCAGGAGGCCTTTGAAATTATGTATTGTGTGAAATTATTTTCTAGATACTCAAATCTAAGTTTCTAAGTTTCAGCTTTGTTACAGAGTGACTGTTACATCATGTGGACAGAAATAAATAAAACAAATAAGGTAGATTGTGTTGATTAATTGTGCATTTAATGGACTAAGTGTACAAAACATTGAAAATGAACACTAAAGAGAATTCTGATTAACTTTATTTGAAGGAAATGATGGAGCCTGGACCTTCATTTATTATTAAGTGTCTCTACTTTAAAGAGTCCTCTCCTGCTGATGTTCAGGTGTATATCAGTATGTAGTGTCTCTACTTTAAAGAGTCCTCTCCTGCTGATGTCCAGGTGTATATCAGTATGTAGTGTCTCTACTTTAAAGAGTCCTCTCCTGCTGGTGTTCAGGTGTATATCAGTATGTAGTGTCTCTACTTTAAAGAGTTCTCTCCTGCTGATGTTCAGGTGTATATCAATATGTAGTGTCTCAACTTTAAAGAGTCCTCTCCTGCTGATGTTCAGGTGTATATCAGTATGTAGTGTCTCTACTTTAAAGAGTCCTCTCCTGCTGATGTTCAGGTGTATATCAGTATGTAGTGTCTCTACTTTAAAGAGTCCTCTCCTGCTGATGTTCAGGTATATATCAGTATGTAGTGTCTCTACTTTAAAGAGTCCTCTCCTGCTGATGTTCAGGTGTATATCAGTATGTAGTGTCTCTACTTTAAAGAGTCCTCTCCTGCTGATGTTCAGGTGTATATCAGTATGTAGTGTCTCTACTTTAAAGAGTTCTCTCCTGCTGATGTTCAGGTGTATATCAATATGTAGTGTCTCTACTTTAAAGAGTCCTCTCCTGCTGATGTTCAGGTGTATATCAGTATGTAGTGTCTCTACTTTAAAGAGTCCTCTCCTGCTGATGTTCAGGTGTATATCAGTATGTAGTGTCTCTACTTTAAAGAGTCCTCTCCTGCTGATGTTCAGGTGTATATCAGTATATAGTGTCTCTACTTTAAAGAGTGCTCTCCTGCTGATGTTCAGGTGTATATCAGTATTTAGTGTCTCTACTTTAAAGAGTCCTCTCCTGCTGATGTTCAGGTGTATATCAGTATATAGTGTCTCTACTTTAAAGAGTGCTCTCCTGCTGATGTTCAGGTTTATATCAGTATGTAGTGTCTCTACTTTAAAGAGTCCTCTCCTGCTGATGTTCAGGTGTATATCAGTATGTAGTGTCTCTACTTTAAAGAGTCCTCTCCTCCTGATGTTCAGGTGTATATCAGTATGTAGTGTCTCTACTTTAAAGAGTCCTCTCCTGCTGATGTTCAGGTGTATATCAGTATGTAGTGTCTCTACTTTAAAGAGTCCTCTCCTGCTGATGTTCAGGTGTATATCAGTATGTAGTGTCTCTACTTTAAAGAGTCCTCTCCTGCTGATGTTCAGGTTCATATCAGTATGTAGTGTCTCTACTTTAAAGAGTCCTCTCCTGCTGATGTTGAGGTGTATATCAGTATGTAGTGTCTCTACTTTAAAGAGTCCTCTCCTGCTGATGTTCAGGTGTATATCAGTATGTAGTGTCTCTACTTTAAAGAGTCCTCTCCTGCTGATGTTCAGGTGTATATCAGTTTGTAGTGTCTCTACTTTAAAGAGTCCTCTCCTGCTGATGTTCAGGTGTATATCAGTATGTAGTGTCTCTACTTTAAAGAGTCCTCTCCTGCTGATGTTCAGGTGTATATCAGTATGTAGTGTCTCTACTTTAAAGAGTCCTCTCCTGCTGATGTTCAGGTGTATATCAGTATGTAGTGTCTCTACATGTCTCCATGCTTTAATGTTCAAAAAGCTCTTTATTCTTCTCATACTGCCTGTGCTGCAGCACCTCTTTTCACCCTCTGTCTGAAACCAGAGCCCAGTCTGCTCTGATTGGTTAGCTGGCCGGCTCTGTTGTGATTAGTCAACCGCATAGAGATGTCCCGCCCCTTAGCCTATCACGTACAATGTGTTGGAGCGCTAGCCAATAGAAGTGCGAGTGTTACACAGTGATGGAGGTAAACAGATGTGGAAACTCCTTCTGGAGGAACACAGGGATTTTAGCCTTTGCAGACCATTGACATGCATACAACCTACACACACAGGGAAGGGAAAAAACCCCAAATGCATAAATAAACCTCTTTATATTATTGCATGTACTTTAACACTTTGTTATAGAGTGTCTGACTGCCTCGTCTGGACATGTTGTCCTTTATAAAGACATTGTATGGAGCTTCAGTTATTACCCGGCCCACGGAGCCATCTTCTCCGCCAGCCTGCGACTCAGACAGAACCCGGCTCCTCCTGTAGCGAACCAGAACCTCACCTCTCTCTGAGGGACCACACACACACACACACACACACACACACACACACACACACACACACACACACACACACACACACACACACACACACACACACACACACACACACACACACACAATTATGCATATTTAGGGAAACCAAAAGTACATATTGGTGTTTTTAAACAAAACCCCATTCCTTGTCGCTACGAACGATGAAAGGGAAGATGGGTCAAACGTATCTAATGGGTGTTAATTTGAGGCATTAAACCTGCAATGAAGTATTTTTCCTTTCACTTGAAAAGGGGTTATTTGTGTGTCTGTGTATCTTCTCGTAAGTCTTGATACTTCTCACGTCAATCCAGAAACAAGTCATTATTCACTCGGGAATAGAAACAAATCCTCAAAATGCAACATGTTTGCACAGAAACAAATACACAGAGCAGTACATGGGAATATTTCACTGACTAACACAAACAATGTCTGTAACAGATCAAACCCATGTCAGATGTTCTGCTTTCTCACATCCCTAACCCTTCAGACTTGTATTGATTGTGGTTCTTTTTCCAAACCCCCTGATATGAGTTTATCAGTAACTCTGTGCCTTTTCTCCAGCAGCTGTTTGTGTGTTGTTTAAAGCAGTAAACTCTGCTTACACAGCAGTCAGATGGAGTGTATGGGGCAGGCAGTAAATACACAACCAATTAGTGACAATGGGTTTCCTTTCCTTTCTCCCCGTCATTTCTCCTTATTCTGTTCCCTTTAATTGTACACTCTTTATTTCAATTACTTATCCCTCATTCATTCTTAGTTTCCTTTTCTTTCCATCCTTTTTCCTTTACTCTCAATTTCCTTTCTTTAGTTTCCCATTTCCTGTCCTTTTGTTGCACCTGTGTCATTCCCATTCATCCTCCACTATTCCTTATCATTTATTTTATTAAAGGACAATCCTTTCCTTCCTTTCCTTCCTTTCATTTCCTTTTCTCCCTTTCCTTTCCTTTCCTTCCTTTCATTTCCTTTTCTCCCTTTCCTTTCCTTTCCTTCCTTTCATTTCCTTTTCTCCCTTTCCTTTCCCAACATGTAGTTCCTTCGCTTTGAATTCTTACTTTCTTGTTAAGTTATTTTCTCATCATTCCTTATCCTCGTTCCCGCTCTCCTCTGAGGCGGCCGACAGGAGCTAAAGCGCTAGAACAAAACACTTCCAGTATCAGAAACGATGCAGATATAAAAACCCAAATGTGCCAAAGCCATGCAAATGAAGAAAGACCATCACCCACTTGACAACACATGCAGCATTTAGAGAACATTCAGCAGCTTGAGGAGACATGCGGAAGAAGCTCAAAACACAACGCAGTCCAGGGGACACTAAAGAGTGACGCACACAGCTGGAGACCAGGGGACACTATAGAGTGACGCACACAGCTGGGAGACCAGGGGACACTAAAGAGTGACGCACACAGCTGGAGACCAGGGGACACTAAAGAGTGACGCACACAGCTGGAGACCAAGGGACACTAAAGAGTGACGCACACAGCTGGGAGACCAGGGGACACTATAGAGTGACGCACACAGCTGGGAGACCAGGGGACACTAAAGAGTGACGCACACAGCTGGGAGACCAGGGGACACTATAGAGTGACGCACACAGCTGGGAGACCAGGGGACACTAAAGAGTGACGCACACAGCTGGGAGACCAGGGGACACTAAAGAGTGGGCCGGAGCTCTATAGTCACTCTATAGTGTCCCCTGGTCTCCCAGCTGTGTGCGTCACTCTTTAGTGTCCCCTGGTCTCCGTTGTGTGCGTCACTCTTTAGTGTCCCCTGGTCTCCGTTGTGTGCGTCACTCTTTAGTGTCCCCTGGTCTCCGTTGTGTGCGTCACTTTTTGGCGTCCCCTGGTTTCCCAGCTGTGCGCGTCACTTTTTGGCGTCCCCTCATCTCCCAGCTGTGTGCGTCACTCTTTAGTCTCCCCTCTTTAGTCTCCCCTGGTTTCAGCTGTGTGCGTCACTTTTTGGCGTCCCCTGGTTTCCGTTGTGATTGTAGCTTCTTGCAGCGATTTACATTTGCAGCACGTTTCTCCTTATAGAAATGTTTTGGACCGTAGCACCGTATTCATCGACCTCTCAGCCTAACAATAGTGACAGGAAATCAAAAAAAGATAGCCAGCGAGATGTAGGAAAACAAGAGGAGGATACTGAGAGTGAGTCTGACATTCGTTTTGTTTTCTTCATCACAAATCCAACCCTGGCGAAGGCTGAAGATTAGGAGGAGAAAAGCAAAGTGGATGAGAGTGATGGGACCAGAGGAAAAAGGAGTAAGGGAGGAGAGAGGGAGAGAGTTAGCGAACGAAGATAAATTAAAGATGTATTTTTCGGTGTAAATGGTGCAAGCAGAGAGGATAATGTGACATACAGTTAGGGAGGTGGAGAGAGTCATTCTGAGATATGGAGGAAGATGGAAAAGGGCGGAGGGAAAACCGAAGAGAGAAAGCGACATGTTATTCAGAGAGACCTCTCAGCCTCGTATTTCTACACAGAAGCATGTGAACCCAGTGACACACACACACACACACACACACACACACACACACACACACACACACACACACACGGGAATAGCTGCATGTGTAAAACAAACTACCGACCGCCTGCAGTTTGACAACCTTCTTATCCACAGGGAGCCTTCCTTGTGTGTGTGTGTGTGTGTGTGTGTGTGTGTGTGTGTGTGTGTGTGTGTGTGTGTGTGTGTGTGTGTGTGTGTGTGTGTGTGTGTGTGTGTGTGTGTGTGTGTGTGTGTGTGTGTGTGTGTGTGTGTGTGTGTGTGTGTGTGTGTGTGTGTGTGTGTGTGTGTGTGTGTGTGTGTGTGTGTGTGGGTGTGTGTGATCAATATCTCCAACGAGACACTAATCACTCATTGATCCACTTGGGTCCTGAAATCTTTCCCATGTGGACAAAAAAGACACCGAGCTAAACGTTCCCTATTCCTCATTCTGTACATGCATACATACATTCGGAGAGAGGAGGTAGTGAGAGTATGGATTTTAAATGGCAGTGGTTAACATGACCATTTTGGCACAAAAACAATAAAAGGAGACCTCAGCTTTGTGTTACAGATCAAGAGTCCTGGTAGAGCATCAAAAGGGGAAGACATTTAAAAAAGGAAGACAGGAAAACAAATGTCACTTATTGTAGTTTTTGTAACGGCTAACTACATTAAAAATATTTATTTCACCTTCCCTTATCATACATCCATAGGTACAAGTCCGGACTGCGGCTGTTTTGTAGCGCCCCCACCGCCAGTAAATGGAAGTACTACAAAGAACCCTGTTAATTATGTGCAGTTATTTCACCAGTTTTATTATATACACCTCAAAATAATGACCCTCAATGGTGGGTACGGCCATGCTTCCTTATAGTGGACAGTTTAAAAAGGCCATATGGTGCTTTTTCGGGTGTTTCTCTTTCCTGTATTGTGTTATACGTTTTTGTGCATGTAAATGGTCTGCAAAGGCTAACCCCCCCCCCTGCCTGAAACGCCTCCATTTGACTCCTTTGTTTACTTCTGGGACATAGTGACATCACTAAGTAACACACAGGACTAGTGGAAGGTGTTTAAGTCTGATATTAGATGATCTGTAAGTTGGTAGTGATGCTGCTTTGACCACAAACTTTATTCCTAGTTTTCCTTTACCACCACCTTCCTTGCTCAAATTCACAAGTGGAAGTCCTTTAATAAGCCGCTGTCTCCTGCAGTGACGCGTTTACCCCCCCCCCCCCCGGGGGGGGGGGGGGGGTAAACGCGTCACTGCAGGAGACAGCGTCTGAGGGCTTCTTAATATTTAAAAACCTATGAATGTCTTATACTCAAATAACGGGAAAAAACTCAGCTACCTGACGATATGAGCCATTTTTACCGAAACAAAACACAAGTCTCACAAGAAGCGTTAGCATTAGCCCTTAGTGAAAACAGGCTGATGCTACTTCCTGTGCTAACTAGCAAAAACGTTCTTTAAAACTTAATATTTTCTGCACAAACTACATATCAGCTGAAAGCTGATACTCCACAGAATATTTTTGATATAAGTATCATCACTGTAGGACACAAACTCACTGAGCGAGCAGCCAGAACAGAGCAAGAAAACAACAACCGTGTTCTAAACCATACAAATAATTATGTCTTACCGTTGCTGTTTTGTGATCAAAAGTCGTGTTCAAGGGAATAAAAACGCTGCTCAAGGTTAATCCAATGTCTCTTAGTCACTTTAGAATTGTTCCTGATAATCCATCATTACATTCATGGCCGCATCGTAGGTATAAAGTTTTGCAGTCCGGGGTTTAGGCGTTCTCACGTGCTGTTTACGCAAGCCTCTCTCTCCTTGACGTAAAGCGGGATTTACTAACCCCCCCTCGATTCTATTGGCTCCAAAGTTTCAAAAAAGGTGTCAATCACCCAAATCGACCAATGGGTTCCAGAGATAGGATCCTGCGTAGTATGAATAATGCCAGCAGCGGTTGCTTTACGCACAGACGGAGCAGAAGCAGCCGCACAACCGCTCCAGCACAGCAGCAACGAACACAACACAGCGAACAGAGAACACAGCGAACAGAGACAACAGCAGGAAACCCTGATTAGGAACTTCAGGAAAGGTATGTACTCTCTCTGTTTGTATCTATTAGTTGTGTATTTGGTGTAATCTATAGTAATTCCACACTCGCAAAATACAAAATGGACGCCGCTTTGTTATTGTAGCGTTATCGTTCCGTGAGAAACTAAAACAATGGCAACATCATGTTGGTGAACGTATAAATAGATTAATTGTATTTCGTGACTATAACACGGCAGTATATAAATAAAGCTGTATTGTATATCAACCCAGTGTATATATATATATATATATATTGTGGTGACACGTTATTGGACATAATTCACCTTGCTTATTGTGTTGCCACACGGACCCTTTAGTGGGGAACACCTGTAGCTCTAGCTGCCATTCCTGCTAGCTCATCAGGCAGAGCAGTGCATGTGTTA